AAAGAAAGAAAGAAAGAAAGAAAGAAAGAAAGAAAGAAAGAAAGAAAAAAAGGAAGAAAGAAAGAAAGAAAGAAGGGAGGGAGGAAGAAGGAAAGAAAGAAAGAAAAAAGAAAGGTAAGAAGGAGGAAAAAAAGATAAAGAAATGGCCACTGCTTCCAAGGAGCTTACATATTATCTATACATTCTACTTGGTAGAATGTAAATTCCTTTATGTCAGTGACCTAAGTCACTTAACTTTGATCTGCTTCAATTTCCTCAACTGTAAAATGGGGATAATAATAGCACCTACTTCTCAGGGTTCAAATGAGTTAGTATTTGTAAAGCACTTAGCATAGTGTCTGGCACATAGCAGGTGCTAAATAAATGCTTATTTCCTGATTCCAAGTCTAGGATTCTATCCACTACACTAGTGGAGTCAAACTCAAATAGAAACAGGCTACTACACCATACATAAGCATTCCCAGAATGCTTGCAAACTGCCTACGTCTTCATGTTCTTAAGGACCAAACACCTGTTTCAATATCAAACAGAACCAGATATAATAAGGAAGATAGATCTTCTGATTCTTTTAATGTGTCCTATGTTTTGCAACGGTCAATTGCAAATTGATTTAGAATTAAACATGATTTTGGAGTCGCTTTGTGACTCCTTCCCTACATGAACAAACAAACAACCAAATTAATGCTGTGAGGAAAGAACTGATTTGTGAAAAGACTCTGCCAAGTTGTCAAGCCCATCACCTTGCCTCCAAGTAGGACAGCCCTTCCCACAACCCAAACAGAAGAGGGCCTATCTCCCTGTTATTTGAAGTCTTTCAGAGATGAATAAAAATAATGCCCAGGCTTACCTGCAGCTCCCAGGAGAAGAGAAAGTTGGAAAAGCATTATGGCTGGACTTTGATTACTTCCTCAGCAGTGATTCCTAGATTCCAAATGCAGCCCCTATTTATCTCCCCTATCCCCCAGAAGTCTTATCTCAGGGGCCTTGGGTAGGCCGGCAGGTGTGGAAAGAGTGGGAATTCTAGGGCTCAGACTGCAGCTGGGACTGGGGGCCAGACCACCGATAGTAGCATTAATCATTGCTACAACGTCAGTCTTTGCGGGGCCCCTGAGCTCAGCAACACCTATGGAGCACAATGTGGATAGTGGTGGTAGGGGCAGTATAGAGAATGGGAAGACAGGGGTCAGCATTATGAGTGGAAGAGGGGGTTAAGACTGGGTATCACAGTGAATGAGCAGCCAGTTTATTTTAGGATAACTGTTGAGCAGAAAATGAATTGCAAAGTCATGTAGCTCAAGCCTCCATCTTACAGATGATGCAATTGAGGTCTACAGAGCTTAAATGAAGTGCCTAAGGTCATGCAGGCTGTATAGAATTGGACATAGGTTCTCTAAATCTACATCCACTGCTGCTCTCATGCTCTTGCATGTATAGTGCTGAGACACACCAAGAGTAGATAGTGCAGTACCTTTGTGAAACTATATAACCAATTAGTGGAGGCATGGGGTGCAATCACTTTATTGTTTCCATTTAAAAACATTAGTGAAATCTTTTTCATAGATGTTGTTCAAAATATATTAGTCTGGTTGGGCTTCAGGTTTTTTAAGGAATCATTTCTGAGGCTCTCCCAGAGACATATTATATCCTAGTCTTTCTATAGACAAGAAAAACTAGAAAGTTATTTGGGATAACATTTTGAGGGGATTTTTTTGTTGTTGTTGTTCTTCCTGTTCTTTTTCTTTTCTCTAAGTGAAAGGTAGGTGAGATGAATGGCCCATGATTTCATTCTGATTGGATAAAGATTATCATAAGGTGGAGTAAAGTGAGATATAAATGAATAATAATAATAACTAACATTTATAGCATTTTAAGGTTTTCAATGTAGTTTACAAATATTATCTCATTTTATCTTCACAATAATCCTGGGAGATAGGTGTTCTTATTATGCCCATTTTACAAATAATCAAATAATGAAATTGAGGCAGAGGTTAAGTGACTTGCCCAGGGTCACAAAGCTAGTTAAATGCTTGAGGATGGATTTGAATTCAATTTCTTGATTCCAGGTCCGTCACTCTGTCTACTGTGCCACCTAACTATTTCGCCCTTGGTAAATCTAGAGTTTATTTCTTTAATTCCCAGAGAAATAGCTTGTGGTCTAGTACAGAGATATTATGTATGTAGCAGCAATACCCTGAGTACAGCTGAACCAGATTAAAATGTAACTGGGAAATATTTAACAAGAACAACAAAATACAGTAGAACATAGATAATATTTGTATGTGCTTTTCTCAGTCAATGTTTAGCCTGCTGGAATGCTTATGTATGGTGTAATAGCCCATTTCTATTTGAATATTCTATTCCAGTGGTCTAGTGGATAGAATCCTAGACTTGGAATCAGGAAGACTGGCTCAAATCCCACCTCTGACATCTACTAGGCGTGTGATTCTAGCCAAAATCACCTGGTATCTTTGTACCTTAGTTTCCTCATCTGTAAAATGAGCAGTTTGGACTTGATTGCTTCTAAAGACCTTTCCAGGTCTTGTCTAAATCTATGATATTATGATTTGCTATCAAAGTTCTTTTTTCTTGACCACCTTCTACGTCTCATCACCTCTTACATTTTCTTTTTTTCCTTGCATGATTTATTATTTATTTACTTAAAACATTTTTTCTTTTTAAATTTTGAGTTCTACATTCTCTCCCTCCCTCTCACCCCTCCCTATATCAGTTATACATGTGAATTATGCAAAACATTTCCATTTTAGCCATATTTCAACAAAAACCAAGAAGAAGTGAAAAAATTATACTTTAATCTGTACTCAGTACATCGGTTCTCTTTCTAGAGGTGGATAGCATTTTTTCGTTTAAGTCCTTTGGAATTGTCTTGGATCATTTATTGATCAGAGTATCAGTACATCGGTTCTCTTTCTAGAGGTGGATAGCATTTTTTCGTTTAAATCCTTTGGAATTGTCTTCGATCATTTATTGATCAGAGTAGTCAAGTCTTTCACAGCTGATCGTCATTATAACATTGCTGTCACTGTGCACAATAATCTCTGGGTTCTTCTCACCTAATTTTGCACTAGTTCATATAAGTCTTGCCATGTTGTTGTTTTTTTTTCCTGAAACTACTCCCCTGGTCATTTCTTATAGCACAATAGTACGTGATCACAATCATATGCCATACTTGTTCAGTTATTCCCCAATTGATGAGTATCCCCTTGGTTTCCAATCTTTGCCACCCACAAAGAAAGAGGCTATAAATGTTTTTGTACAAATAGGTCCTTTTCTTTTTTCTTTGATCTCTTTGAGATATACACCTTGTAGTGGGATTGCAGAGTCAAAGGGTATACACAGTTTTAGGACCTTTTAGCCTAGTTCCAAATTGTTCTACAGAATGGTTGGACTAGTTCACTATTCCATCAACAATTCATAAAACGTACCTATTTTCCCTTCAACCCCTCCAGCATTTGTCACTTCTGATAGGTGTGGGGTGGTACCTTAGATTTGTTTTATTTGCATTTCTCTAATCAATAGTGATTTAGAGTTCTTTTTCATGTGACTATAGATAGCTTTGATTTCTTTTTTCTGAAAACTGCCTGTTTATATCCTTGGACCGTTTATCAATTGGGGAATAGCTCTTATTTTTAAAATTTGAATCAGTTCTATACTCAATATGTATTTGAGAAGGAGAAACTTGCTGTGAAAAGATCATTGTCTATGGTACAGTTTAGCAAAGTGAAGTTTCCCTGATTATCTCTTTTAATTAATTCGATTTTCGCTTTTACTTTGAGATCATGACTGCTACTCTTGCCTTTTTAAAAATTCAGCTGAAGCATATTAGATTTTCCTCCAGCCCTTTATTTTAACAATGTATGTTTTTCTGTTTCAAGTGTGTCTCTTGTGAACAGCATATGGTTGGATTCTGGTTTCTAATCCATTCTGTTATCCATTACCATTTTATGAGTGAGCTCATCTCATTTACGTTAGCAGTTATGATTCCTGACTGTGTATTTCCCTCCATCCCATTTTCCTCTCTTTCTTCTTCACTTTCTATCTTGTTGCTCCTCAAAAGTGTATTTTGCCTCTAACCATTGCCTCCCTTAATCTGTCCTCCTTTTCATCACCTCCCCCCAACACTTTCTTTTATCTTCTGCTCCTATTTCCTTATTGGCTAAGTTAGATTTCTGTACATAATTGAGTGTGTAAGTTTTCTTAGGCCAGAAAAATGTCTCACCTTGACCTTTTGCTGGCTCTGCCACTCCAAATTTGATTTGAGGTGTTGTTTTAAAGTTATTTGGAGGGGAATGCTGGGAGAGTTCAGCTGTGTTGCTGCCCTTCTCTCCCCACCTGGTTCACTGTGTGGCCTGTGAATATGCGGCACCCCTGTTTCTTTGCTTCTTCGAATTTATTCTTTTTGCTCTATTGAGAATGAATGCTGGAGATGAAACAGACAAGGCTATGACCTTGTGAGCGTCTAAAGGCTGGAAGATCCATGAGAGAGTCAGATGACCTGGACTCCACATTAGAATTCACCAGATACGCCTGGCAAGGAGTGCAGTCCCATGGAGCAGCCATGGGATCCAGCTTAGCAATGACTCAACCTAGGAGCTATAAATAAGGGAGCAACTTGTCAACTGTCTATGCTTCCCATAGTTGTTGAAGATGTTTTGTAGTCATTACTCTAAGCTTGAGACCACCCTCCCCAGGGACCAAGGTGGCAATGGAAACTGTGTTTCTTGATTTGTTAGGGAGTAGGAATGGGGAAGGAGGAAGAGTAACATTTTTGTTCTTATATCTTCTCACCAAATATCCCTTTGTGAAAGTTAATTGATGTTGATTGCTTATCCTGATATTGGTGAGATAGTAATTGACACTTGAAAATTATATTAGAACAGTGATCTCTGGTGGTTTATATTGCAGAGGGGAGTTTACCAGAATAGAGGCTGGAGCCAATAGCATCACAAAGATATCTCAACCCCATAGAGGTGATCATAGAACCATGAGGAGAGATACAAATTTGCTATGGGGACCTGACCTGCCAATGATAGTGTGGGTCTTTCCACATGAGAAACAAATCAAGGGCAGCTGGGTGGAGCAGTGGATAGAGCACTGGCCCTAAAGTCAGGAAGACCTGAATTCAAATTTGACCTCAGACCGAACACTTAACACTTACTAACTGTGTGACCCTGGGCAAATCACTTAACCCCAATTGCCTAAAAAGAAAAAAAATTATAAATTCTCTATTTTATTAATACATAGTTGAATGATTAAGAAAAGTACATATGATTCTTTCTTGCAAACACTGGTCTAAGGGACAAGGGCCAATAAGCCATAAGCTACTGGAAAAAGATACAGAAATGTAATGGAAGGAGTATTAATTGGCAATTTCAAAATTCATGTTCTAATCCTAATTTTTGCTACAGGCTGTGTATTTTTGCTTTAACTCTCTGGGCCTCATCTTTGAAATGAGAAACTTGAAGCAGGCCAACCCTTAAGTCCATTCCAACCAGAGGTGTGCTGTTAAATGTTTAACAACTGGCTCTCCAGGGGAAACAAAGTATTTAACATGCACTTTCAAGTTTAATCTGCATCATTAACATTTCCCACCACTTTTTTAAGTCCAGACAATAGCAAAACAATAATTCAAGCCCTGATTTGTACCTTTTGATGATTTCTGGGGTGTAAATGCTCACACTGAAAATTTAACAATCAGCTCTCATGAGCGGATTCAGACTGGCTCCAACACACCCCCACTTCCAGCTCCAATATTTTATGAACACAGGTCTTCTTGCGCAGGCAGCATCACTAACTTTCTACGCCATCTAGTGGTGAATCCGAGCAACTGCTAAGAAAAAATAGTCATCTCCCCAAATCAATTGTGTTGTTATACCAATTATTATATAAAAATATCACCGAATTTTGCTGCATTATTTAAGGGAATCATCTAAGGATTCATTTTACAAGGCTAAAGGAAATTATTTTAATTCATGGTAACATGAAAATGGTAAAGAGAGATATAAGTTTGAAGTAATGAATCCCATTATCATGAGTGTGTAAGGAAAGGGTAAAGAAATAATAATAATACTTGTATTAAATTTTATAATAATTTATACAATTCTACTAAATTTCCACTCTGATATCTCAATAGGAAGTGGAATTCTAGAAATCTGTGATAGTAGAACAGAAACTATATCATATATTCCCCATTAAAAAGATTGTAAGAATGGACTTGGTAATGATCTGTTAACTGAGTCCCAGCACAGGTAATCAGGTAGTTCAGAGAGGCTTGTCATTGGTACGGTGGCCCCCCGGAGATGAATGAAGGCTTTTGGAAACTGTAAAGCCCATCTCTTAAAGTACAAAGGGGCTTCAATCTACGTGGAACACCACTCACACCAATGCAATCACAGATCCTCAATATATAGAAAACTACGGAATCTTTGAGTTAGAATACAATGATATGAACCAAGAGCAGCTACTGAAGCAGCCTGAGATATAATACATGAAGGAGTAAAGCTACCATTTTGAGGAAGAGAAAAAATGCCTAGGACTAGCTAACATTACCCTACATAACTCAAGTCCCCAGGAAGGGGGGCAATATTTTAATGTATTTATGAAAATAATTGAATGACCAAAGGAGTGGAAAACTTCAAAAATAATTTTGTTAATGAAAAAGAGTGATTGAGCAATTGCTAGTGCCCTGATAATATCCATCTGGGACTGTGGAAGTCTTAGGCACAGGAACCCAGGGCGCCAAAAATGGAAGACTGGAATCTGTCAATGATAAGAAAAATGCCCACAGATTCTGCTGTCTGCTGCATGCTTGTACAATATGTGATAACCAAATGGTAGCTGCTATGTCAGAGGCCCCTGACAGACCAGAAATGAGGAAGGCTGTAACTCAGCTGAGAAGATAATATACTAAATATTGTAGCCAAGTATCAATGGTGGGGAAATCAAGGAAATGAATAGATACATCTATCTAGAGACCCCATACTGGACAGGAGAAATACCTTTAGAAAGAGTATATCATAGCAAAACAAAGGAGATAAGAAAAAGCTACTAGAAGAAACAAAAGACACTATGAAAAGAACAATTAGAACTACTGATGCAAAGTATAGACTCACAGCTATCCTCAAGTCTGTCGTGGGATTACTAGGTTTAGAGTTGAAAGGGTCTTAGGCCCCTCAACTTTCACCTCCCTAGTTTACAGATGAGCTAACTGTGGCACAGGGATATTGAATGACTTGCTTCCTGTCGCACAGTAAGTAAGCCTCTGAGGTAGATTTTGAACTCAGGTCTTTCTGACTTCAGGTCTAATGCCCTGTCTACTATGACACACAAAAAATATTGCTGGAAATAGAATAGCAAGAGAGCAGAGAAGGGATCAGCACAAAGGGAGCACACGCATCGTCTGTGACATTGTTTCTAGAGGGATTCTTAAACTGGGGTCTTTGAGCTTAAAAAAAAAATTAATGCTGTGTTTCAATACAATTCTTTCCTTTATAATTCTATGTATTTTGCTTTATGCATTTAAAAACATTATTCTAAGAAAGGATCTCCAGGCTTTATCAGACTACTAAGGATCACACAGATTATGAATTAATTCTCTAGAGATTCTTTACAGCCATCTCTAACAGAAGAACTCATTCCCACTTATTGCTCCAATAAAGATAGGACTTCCTCTAAATTACATAGACTCAGAGACCCATTAATGGGGAAGCATATTAAAAATCTCTTTTTTAGTTCAGTTGAAAATACTAAGAAATAAATACTTCTCCAATCCTTTCCAGACTTAAATCTTCTTTCTCTTAACACAATTCTTTTCTTTTAGGAAAGTGTGTAAAAGGTCAATGAAAGCTAAGGCCCCAGAATATGGATTAATGGTGGTAACCAAACAGAAGGAGAATTATTTTATGTCTATTTAAGACCATGGCTCTCCTTTTCTCCCTGAAGGGATTAGAGTTATGATCTATTTCGAGCAATACCCTCTTTCTCCCTTTCCTGAAGGATCAGAGGAAAGAAGTGCCTTTGATGATTTCAGGTGACCTGTGGCCAGCTGTTGGAGAGCCCCTGAGGGAAATGGTCAAATTGAGATGAGCAGTTTTAAAAGAAATGCTCCAGGGCTGTTCCTGAAAAATCAAGTGACTTTCAGATGAAGTTCTATGAGATGGAGTAAAATGTTAACCCTGAAGTCTTTCATCATATTGTGTTACATTTTCCTCACTCAGAATTCCTAGAACTGTTATTTCAAAATACCTTTGTTTAGAGAGATGTCTGAGAATATGAGTCACAACCCTCTCTCTCTCTGTCTGTCGCTCTTAAAAATACTTGGATTTACAACAATGACTAACTAGTAAAAATTGTTTCTGTAGAACTTGTGCCTAAAATATAGAGCACAGTATTAAAGGGTTTTTTCTTTGATACTAGGTATAGCCAGAAGAGGCAACAGGAGGTTTCACTTCATGACAACATACAGATTCCCCCCTGATGATGAGGCTTTGAAAGAAGTCCTAAGGACTGGAAGCTGGAATGGCTCTGATGTTGCTTAGAGACTTGGGGAACCCTTGGGAGTGAAGGGGAGGGAGCCTCAAAGGGGCAGATTGGGGCCACCTTCAAGCGAATATTCTCTAAACCCTTTCCTTGTCAGGACCCAGATCCACAAGTGTGTTCTGCCAGTTTCTAAGTAGATGTAGGTGTTAGAAGGGAGAGATACAGATCTCTCTGATCTAGAAATCTTCCTACTCTAAGGGAAACAGACTCCACGATTCTCCTTCCTTTACTCTGATTGTTATCCCCAGGACCTCGTGCAGCCCTTCCTTTTGCAGCTCTCTAATGCACTTAAGCAATGCTGCATATTACAGTTATTTGTTTGGGTGTTTCAGCCACTTGGACCATCATAAGTTCCATGATAGCAGGAACTGTGTCTTATTTAAATTTTGTATCTCCTCATAGTACTCAGCATGTGGTAGGAACTTAATATTTGCCAAATGAATGGATGGATGGATGGATGGATGAATACAAGAATAAATGGGTGGGCAGGTGAGATACGTATCCAAGCATTCCTGTAATGTAAATCTTGTACCCTACCCTTGGCTGTAGGTGAGGAGTGGGGGTCAATCTTTGATCCCCTAGTGTTTCGTAGGACCTATATTATGAACCAGCAAGAGGCATGGCACAAACTTATTAATCAGAGACTCAGCATTAGCATGACTCTTTATTGGTATCCTGTTTCAGCACAGAAGATAAGGCTATGTCTATGTGGCCTAGAGCAGCATTCATAAGGTAGAGCTGGAGAAACGGGAGGCCAAGAGTTGAAGTTAAAAGGAAGAAGTGACATTTTGGATCCATTCCCTGTATTTGTGAACTTTGGTAAAGAGCCCACCACTTCCCTGCAGAACACACCCATATGACATGGTCAAAATCCCATGGATCCTTCCATCACATATGGCTGGAACGGCTGCGATTTCCTGCCATTGAGAAAAAAAAAAAGGAAGTCAACAAAAAATTTTGAAAAACTAAAGAACTCTGATTAATTCAAATATCAACTCTTACGATCAGTGGAACAATGATAAAGCATTCTGCCTAGCTCCTGGAAGAGGTGATGAACTAATATGCAGAATGAGACACATTTCTAGGCACGGACAATATGGAAATTTGTATAGCTGGACTATACTTTTTTTTTTGTTACAAGAGTTTTGTTTTCCTTTTTTTCCCATGGGGGGCATGGAAGGGAGAAAAATATATGCTTGATAATTGAAAAAAATTAATTTGAAAATTGAAAAATTTTTAGCAAAAAGGGGAAAAAAGAGTTTGTTAAGCAGACTGGCACAATGTAAAAAAAAAAATTTGGCTTTTGAGTTAGAAAACTTGGGTTTGAATCCTGCCTTTTCCACTAGGTGACAGTGGACAAGTCACTTCATGAGGGAGTTGGGCTAGATGACCTCTAAGGTTTCTTGTGGAACTAAATGTAGCACTTTGCTGTTGTTCAGTTGTGTCTGATTTTTTTGTGAGAACTATTTTTGGGGTTCTCTTGGCAAAGATACTGGAGTGGTTTTTGCCAATTTTTTCTCATTTTACAGACGTGGAACTGAAGCAAACAGGGTTAAGTGATCCTATATTTAGGATTTCCAGCAGGAGAGCCAGGGGTCTTAGAATTCATCCTCATTTCCATCTTTCTATGTCTTCTCCATTCCTCAGCAGGCATGCAAAGCCAAGCATAAATCCACTTGAAGGGGAAACTGGGTAGCTCTCTGCCTGCTTTCCTAGATAGCGCTCTCTTCCTAGTTTAGGACTGCAGACTCCAGTTCAGGGATAGAGATGAGGAAAGACTTTGTCGTTTAGTCCCTCATTCCCTGAACTCATTATTCAAGGACTTGGAGTAACAAGGGCATTGCTTTACTTGTTATTGTGCTATCTACAGCTGTAGCACCCTCATCCCTATTCCTTTTGTCTTCTTTCTCCTCAGGGGCCATTGCAGAGGGAGGGATGAGCTACCTGGCATGGGCTTATGAAATCATCGTAGAGTCCCACACACATTTTATTTGCTGACATTTTTTCTGGAAGCATTTTGGCACATTCCTCATCAGGGAGAATGTCATGGATTACCCAGCTCAGGATATCTGGGTCACTTGCTACAGGAAAGAAGAGAGAGAAACCAGATCCTAGAGTTACTTTCACCAATAGAATTCAAATTATATGCTCCCCCACACCACCAGTTATACTCAAAAAATTATACTATTTACCATCCTTGGAACATGGCCTGCAACTTCTTCCATTTGTGACGCTTTCACTGTCCTTCATTATCTGCCCTCTCCCCACATTTCCAATTACTGAAATTCTACCCAATTTTTGAGGTTCTGTTCAAATGCTACTTCCTCCATGAAGTCTTTCCTGATCTAGCCTGAAATGCTCTCACTCTCCTCTAACCTTTTAATAGCACCTTGTCATTATCTTTTGCTTAGCTTATACTCTGGTACTTAAAATGCTACGACCTGACCCCTTTCTATCTTTCCTGTCTTCTTCAACTTTACTCTGCTGCATATATTCTATGCTCCAACTATACTGAGTTACTTACTGCTCTTCACACATGACATACCATCTGCTTTATGGGCCTTCCCTCATGCCTGGAAAGTTCTACCTTCCACCTCTGCCTCCTGGTTTCTTTGCCTTTCTTGTTTTAAAATGTTTATAGCAGCTCTCTTTGTGGTGGCAAAGAACTGGAAACTGTGGGGATGCCCATCCGTTGAGGAATGGCTGAACAAGTTGTGGTATATGATTGTAATGGAATACTACTGTATTATAAGAAATGATGAGCTCAATGATTTTAGAAAGACATAGAAAGACTTGCAGGAAATAATGGAGAGTGAAATGAGCAGAACTAAGAAAACATTGTATATAGTACAGCAATACTGTTTAAAGAATGACTGTGAATTAGTAAGTTATTTTGTCTATTATAAATACCTAAATTAACTATAAAGGATATATGAAGAAAGATGCTATCTGCATCCAGAGAAAGAACTGATAAGTAGAAGAATATACTGAATAATTTTACTTATGTGTGTGTGTGTGTGTGTGTGTGTGTGTGTGTGTGTTTCTAATGGTAGCTGTCTCTAGGGCAGGGAGGGGGGAGAAAAAAAGGAAATAAAATAAATTTCCGTGATAATTTTGGTGTATATTTGAAAGGAATAACAAATTGTGCATAGCATATTTGCAGTTTCATGTGCAATCATGCTTTTATTGTACTATGTTATGAAAATGATTTTTTATTCCATAAATTAAAAATAAAATAAATTTTAAAAAAAGATTTTGTTTCTGCAGAAGGCCATTCCTGGTTGCCCCTACTACTAAGGCCTTTTTTCTGAAATTACCTTCAATTGTATGGATTACATTGTTTATATTGTGTGTATATGTATGTATATATACACACACACACATATATAATATATACATATGTGTATATATACATATTATATCTATATCTATATCTATATATATCTTCATGTTATCTCCCCTACTAGCTCCTTGAAGGCTTGAACTATCCATTTGCCTTTTTTGTTGTTGTCATTTCTCCACGGCTTAGTACAGTGCCTGTCAGATTGTAAACACTTAAATGTTTACTGGCTGACTAACTCATACTATTTGATTATGTATTATAGTGACTTCTGTATAGATATCTATTCCCCTCACTAGACTGTAAGCCTTATTGAAGGCAAGGACTATTTTACTCATCTCTGCATGTCCCTCAGAGCCTACTACATTTCCTTAAGCATATTAATGGTTGCAATAATAATAATATAAACTGTTAAACAGAAAGCTGCTAGAACCATCTCTATCAGACTAGAGAACTGATTATAAATTTTTTGGTGTAAGCATTTGTATTTCAGAAATAAGCAGATATGATAAATCAAGGTGTGATTTCTTGTTTTGTTGATTGTCTAGACTTAAGAAAGTGATGGAAAACATGCTAATAGTGTAGATTAAACATAAAAATGTGTCTTTTTTTTCCCCCAGAAAGCTGTTTGTTAAACATTTATCAGCACACCCCTGGATTCCTTCTTGCTCTTCAGGAGGAGCATCTAGTCTACCTCTAGAGATATTTCAGTAAAAAGAGGGGTTTCTATTATGAAATCTTGGCTAAATGTGACTGTAACTCTAATTTGGGTCCAAGTAAACACAGGGCAGAAATACTAATGGGTTCAGTGCAGTGGGAATAGAGGTTCCCTGTTTTCCCTTATGTTTTCATTCAGTTAAAAAAAAAAACAACCCTTCATGGCTTCTTCCTTCTTCGTCCCCTTTCCCAATTTAAAGTACTTTTTGGTTGACAAAGAACTTTGCTTACAACAACCTGTGAAATGAAGCTAGACCAAGTATTATTTTACATTTAAGAAAACTGAGACTCAGAGAAGTTAAATGGCTTGGTCAGCTGTTTATCAGTCACCTCTGTTTGCCAGAATGTTGGCCTAGGGCTGCTTTGATACTCTTAATCAAGGGACAATGGCACCTTTTGTCAAGAGGCTTTTAGAAAGTTGTGATAATATCTACCATACTCTGTGAAGTTTTTGATTGTTTGGGTTTCAATTAATGTTCTTGTAAACAAAGACACTTATGTTGCGTATATATAATATTACATTGCATGTATATAATGTCATTTAAAAAACTCAGAGAAACCCGTCAGTTCACATACTCAAGTTAAAACTAATTTGATTTTTCTCATGTTTTAAATTAATACTATCTAATCATTGATGTGTAAAATATTTAGTAATAATCTAAGAACAAAACTGATGAGTTGTGAGGTCTATATTTTGCTTCCCACCATGGCTAATAAATGTCAGAGCTAGGTCTTCTGACTACAAGTCTGAGCACTTTTTCTATTATACCAGTTGGAGCCCTTTCAGGTTCTTATTGGATCCCTTCTAAACATTTCCCCCTACTTGCTCCTATAAATTTCTAAGATATCCCAGTAATTCAAGTGGCTCAAGAGTTCCTTTCGGGCACTCACAGTTATTCCATTGTGTCCAAATCCATCCAGGGATGAAACACCTTTTAGTTTCAGAAGGAGCCACAGCCAGGGCCACCGTGCCCACATGTTTGTTGAGATTGGCAGGCTTATTTAACTTAATCAGCATGAGGTTGTTGTCCAGGTTTTTGAAGTTGAAGTCAGGGTGCTTGATGCTGACTAAGCAATTCCGGATCTGCTGTCTCTTTTCCTTTACATTGGGTTGAAGAACTCCCAGCCTGATCTCAGACCTTTGAGAAAAGGAACGAATAAAGGTGGGGAAGGGGTGGGGGCAAAGAAGAGGTATAAGAGCTCTTGAAAACATGAATTAATCATTCCCAGACACCCTCAAACCAACCAGTCCTGTGATTCAGGATTCCTCATTTCTGTAATTACTTCTATCATTTAAAGTTCCTTCCTATTATCGCTGTAAGAGTGGAGAACCTATCTCATTAATCTGCACACTGTTATGTATTTTCTTTCCCCAATTCATACCATAGCTTTTGGGAATATTTGGAGGCAGTATGATATAATGAGAAGAGAAGGAAGTAAGGAGATAGTTTTTCATCTCAATTTGATCACAAACTTCTTCATAATGAGAGCTGTCCCAAAGGGCAATGTGCTGCCTAGAAAGATAATGAGTTCCTTATCACTGAAGATCTTCTAGTGGCATCTGAATGGTCAGCTTAGTGGGGAAGTTGTAAAGGAGATCCTTGTCTATATAGCGATACCTAAGAAAGGGATCTCAGAGATCTCTTCCATCAATGAGGTTCTGTAAACTAGCTAAGTGACACAGATCAAGTTATTTTACCTCTGTTTCAGTTTCATTGTATGTTAAATGGTGGGATTGGACTAGATCATTAAGGCTTTTAAAAGTTCTATGACTTTATGATTCTTTTAAGAGCCTACATTGTGTTTTATTTCTTTTGCCTCTTCCATAGTACCAAGAGTCATTCCAAAAACACTATAGGGGTTTAATAAGTACAGTCAATCCTCAACATTTACATGGTTAACTTTCAACTTTAAGCATTCAGGTGATTTTATTAGTAACCTCATTTTCACTTTCACGTTGGCAACCTCACACATTTGGGTCTACGCACAGTAGAGAAAAAAATAAGAGGCACAATGTGTGCAAGTTTGTGGAGTGACTTGTATCCCACTAGGCTCTTCATTGGTCTTGTTCAACCTATCATTGTAAAGAGCTCCCCATACATTCATTGTATATTTTCACTGTTTGCCTTTAAAACTCAAGTTCTGTGTTACAATTACACCTCCAAAGCATAGTGCAAGTCGTTTGGGTTCTATGATGTCGAGAACTTGCCCGTTTCTTCATCTTTTGATAGCAGTGACTAAAGTCCCAGCAACCTCTTGGTTTTTAGAGGGTGGCCAAGGTAGAGAGGTTTACAGCAGCATAGTACAATGCCCTCACACTGCAATCTGATATAGTGGAAAATAAGAATCAGATTAAAAAAAGTTTTAGTTTTAAGAATTTTACTCACTGTACAGTATTTATGGCATTGTAGTTTTGTGTGCTATAAAAAATGAATATTGTCTGAAATCAATGTGTTTTTTTTTTAATTGAGATGGTAGCACAAAAGGTCACAAAATTCTAGGGAATTATTAGTGGGAAAAACATTTTGTATGTTACCAATTTTACTTTTTGTACTGCATTTTGTGGGTTATTTCATGGTTACTGTGTTAGGAAAACTGCATATTATCAGAATTAATGTTTTGTTATAAAGAATTATATGCAGAAAAGTGTGTTTTCAGCACTCTCTAGTGATAGATTCCAGTTTTTGGTGGTTACAGGAATCTAACCCCCTATTTCCCCATACATTCAATGTATCAACATTCACATTTTTGACATGTGCCATTTTCTAGGAATGTCACCCCCCAAAAAATTGAGGGTTGACTGTATGTGCTGAGGTTAATTGACTTGAACATCCATTTACTGAAAAACCAGGGACAAAAGAGCCCAGAAACCCCCTAGAAACTCAATGAAGTGTTTGGGAAGGTGTCAATCACACCTATCCTTGTGTATCACAAAAATCCATTTGAGCCCTAGGGAAACGTAAGCTGTTGACTATGAGACATAGTCTCATCGAAATTTCCCTCTCTCTACATTTCCTTTCTACGTTCCCAGTCCTGGACCCTTCTCATAACAACTGGGAATGTGATGTGAACCATAGAAGCATACCATGCTAGAATAGAAGGGACTTCGTAGTTCTAGACCAACTTTGTCATTTTATAGGTAAAGTGATTTACCCATGCCTCCTTAATTTTAAAATTTAGAAGACTGGTAGAACAAATGTGCCATCATTACTCACGGTATGTTGCAGTGAGCTGCTGTTATCACCCACTGGGAGAGAATGAGAGTCCCCATACAGAATGGGGAATTGGATTTCAGGTAGGCCATATAGGGGATTGTAGCATCATCATAATTCCTTCCCAGGGAAGCCAAGGTCTGATCAGCTGATTAGTTTACAGAGATAGAGGCAGAAAGAGGCAGAGAAACAGAAAAAGGCAAGATTTCAGAATAGTCATAGGCAGTAGCCCCTTTATCATTTCCTTTCTAATATCCTTTTCTGTGGGGGTTCTCTGTCCTACAGAAGGAGAGAACATCTAACTAGAGAGAAAGGGGAAGGAGACTTTCCTTTGGAAGACACAAATTCAACAATTTTTTCAGAATGATCCCGGGACAGAGATCCTCTACAATGCATTTGACCTAGCCTAAAAACAGGTAACTGAAATATCCTGAGAGGATATAGGTAATGGCTTACATTGAAGCAAGAGATTCATCTCAGGGATAGGTTATGGGATTCAGTGACTTCCTGCTCCCATCATCCCCTCTCCAATTCCTGGAACCTCTTAAGCCCTCTTGCTTCATAAATATTTAGTTCTGATTAGCTACGATAGCTAATCTTTCTTTCCAAGTTTTCTTCCTCCTTTTCTCCCCCCAAAAGCTCCTTGACCTTTCTTGAAAAATGAAATCCACAAATTCTCACCAGCTGCTGTCAGGAGAACAAAGAAGAGAAAGCATTTCATAGTGGAGTTCAGGTGGTATTCCAGTGATGAGGCCAGAAGTGAACTACTGCTATTAATCCTGGTTTAATGCTTAGGTCAGGGGCATTTGACAACTATAGTGATGGGTAGAGAGGTTTCTTCTAGCTATAGCCTGAACAAAAAGGATGCTCAAGGACCTTGTGGAAATCTTGGAGATATCTACTTTTCTCAAGGTCTACTTCCACAAAGCAACATGTTAGTAACCTCCAGAGGCTGTTACAGGTGAGGGAAAAGACGATGGCTCAGTATCTTATCATCCTCACTGATATTTCTTTACTCTAGAAATCTCCTGCTGTCTCCAGATCACCTGTCCCTCTGGAGGAATAGGAGAAAAGAAATTTTGTATTCAGTGTTCAAAGGTTTTCCCTCTACCATCATCCTGTCACTTACTTTATGACATGTACCTATTCTCTGTGTCATAATTATCTTCCTCCTTCCCACCATCTGACTTGTTTCTTCCATATGACCACTCCCTTCATTTTGACTGTGGACTTCTGTCCCTCTCCCACACTAGGAAATGGGTACCTACCCTCTGGAAAACTTTTCTTCAGTTTGTATATATTTTGGGGGGGAGTGAAGCAATTGGAGTTAAGTGACTTGCCCAGGGTTACACAGCTAGTTAGTATCATGTGTCTGAGGCCAGATTTGAACTCAGGTCCTCCTGACTCCAGGGCCAGTGCTCTATCCACTGCACCATCTAGCTGCCCCTCAGTATACACTTTGATGACAGGTTGACAAGCTGTAAGAAAACAGTGCATTTAGTCAAAAGCAGTTAAGCATTTATTGTAATTGCTGTATGAACACCAAATTCAGTGTGTGCAAGAGTGTGGCTTTTTTGAATGCCTATAGAAACAAACCTATAATGCACCAAACATACATATGCTTGTTGTCACAGAGGGAAATCTATATTTGTAACATATTTGGACAATTATTTACTGCTTAAAGTGCCATTCAAGAATTTTTAGCATGAACCTCTCAGACCACTTTCTTTTTTCTTTTTTTCTTTTTTTTGGTGAGTTTGCTTATTAATTTATTTTTAGTTTTCAACATTCACTTCTACAACATTTTGAGTTCCAAATTTTCTCCCCATCTCATTCCTCCCCCTACTCCAAACAGCATGTGTTCTGAATACTCCTTCCCCTAACCTGCCCTCCCTTCTATCTCCCCCCCCTTCTCTTATTCCCTTGCCTTCTATTTTCCTGTTGGGCAGGATAGATTTCTATACCCCATTGCCTGTATATCTTATTTCCCAATTGCATGTGAAAACAATTTTTAACATTTGTTTTTAAAACTTTGGGTTCCAAATTTTCTCCCTTTCTACCTCCCTACCCATCCTCATCGAGAAGGCAAGCAACTCTATACAGGTTATACATACATAGTAATGCAAAGCACTTCCATAGTAGTCATGTTGTGAAAAAAAAAAAACTAACTCTATTTCCCTTAATCCTCTCCTGCCACCCCATTTATTCTATTCTCTCTTTTGACCCTGTCCCTCCTCAGAAGTGTTTGCTTCTGATTACCCCCTCCCCAATCTTCCCTCTCCTCTATCACCCTTCCCCACTCTCTTATCCCCTTCCCCCCTATTTTCCTGTAGGGTAAGATAGATTTCCATACCCAATTGAGTGTGCATATTATTCCCTCCTTCAGCCAAATCTGATGAAAATAAGATTTACTCATTCCCTCTCACCTTCCCCTACTTCCCCTCCACTGTAAAAGCCTTTTCTTGCCTGTCATATGTGAGATAATTTACCCCATTCTGCCTCTCCCTTTCTCTTTCTCCCAGTATAACCCTCTCTCATCCTTTAATTTTATTTTTTTAGATATCATCTCTTCATATTCAACTCACCCTGTGCCCTCTCCCTGTATATCTATCTATCTACCTATCTATCTATCTATCTATCTATCTATCTATCTATCTATCTATCTATC